GGCACATCCCCTGCAGGGGGTGTGCAGGAGGCAGCTGGTTGATGTTTCTTATCGACGTTTCTAGCTCTCTATCCCTCTTCCTTCCTCTGTGGAAAATAAAATATATTTTTTTAAAATTTAACTTCCTTTCCTGACCCATCCAACTCTTCAGTGAAGCTTCCAGCACCCTTGCAGCTAATTTCAAAGAATCAGTTCTTCGCCCTCTCCAAACCATCCTCCTCCTTACTACTCAAAGAGCAACTTCTACTCCCAACCCAACTTCTGGAAGCCAATTTCATATCAAATCGACTGCTAGACATAGTCAGCACAAGTCCTCCCAGGACTGCCGATCCAATGTGTTGCCCCCATTACACCCCAGACAGCCACTTCTTTAGTGCAGTCTAACACTCCCAGCTCCGCGGCCTTCTGGCCAGCACTGGCTGCTCCACACCTGCTTACGTGGAAGCCTGGCTTAAAGTTACAACAGACTGGACCTACTTCAAGTGTTAACGCCTCGTGCAGTTGCACCCTCAATGGCTCCTGCCCTGTAAGCGTCTACCTGGTGAGGTACGTGAGGTACGTATTTCTTCACCTAACTCTGCCTTGGCCATCCCGCACTACCCTAGCCATGACTTTTCTCCTGTTGGCTTTTTTCAAGGGACCAACTAAAAGAGTTGCACCCTGTTCGCCACTAAGTGTTTGTCATGAACTGCCATCTAGAGAAAGTATGACCAAAAACAAATAACATTAACATGCCAATTTATACTTTGTAAAAAACTCCTGTCGTAGCTTAACATGGTTGGTTTTATCTAAAAATAAACTTCCTGCCGGGACCGGTTTGGCTCAATGGATAGAGCGTCGGCTTGGGGACTGAAGGGTCCCGGGTTCGATTCCGGTTAGGGGCATGTACCTTGGTTGCGGGCATATCCCCAGTAGGGGGTGTGCAAGAGGCAGCTGATCGATGACTCTCATCGATGTTTCTAACTCTCTATCTCTCTCCCTTCCTCTTTGTACAAAATCAATAAAATATATATTTAAAAATAAAAATAAAAAAATAAAAAAATAAAAAATAAAAATAAAAATAAACTTCCTGCCGAAACAGGTTTGGCTCAATGGATAGAGCGTGGGCTTGGGGACTGAAAGGTCCTGGGTTCGATTCCGGTCAAGGGCATGTACGTTGGTTGGGGGCATATCCCCAGTAGGGGGTGTGCAAGAGGTGGCTGATTGATGACTCTCATCGATGTTTCTAACTATCTTTCTCCCTTCCTCTCTGTACAAAATCAATAAAGTATATTTAAAACATAAATAAAAAAAATAAAAAAAAACTTCCTAATTATAAACTAGAGGCCCCAGGTGCATAGCGGGTGGGTGTGTGGGGTGTGTCCCTCAGCCCAGCTTGCACCCTCTAGCAGTATGGGTGCTGGCCCTAAGCTGATGGCAGTGAGCTGCAACAGAGGTGTGAGAGGGCCTGGAGCACCCTACATTGAGCGTCTGCACCCTAGTGGTAGTTCTGCCCTTCAGGTGATTTGCGTATTAGGGTTTTATATAGGATTTTGGTGACACCAACTGAAACAGGTTAAAATACAGTAGTTACCTAACAGGACTTAGAAATTGTTTCCTAAGGGAGATTGTTTTCAAACTTTTAGTTTTCAAAACTTTTTTATACTGATCACTTACCTCCATTTCCTTATCCAAATGATTAACAGTAACCCTTAACCCCACCCGGCAAAAGGATAGCATTCAGCAACCCCCATCCCCACCCACACCCGGCTCTGTTGTTTAGGGGCTTGTCAGCAAATAACCAAACACAAAAGTGCCTGCCTTTGAACAAGGGAAAATGACCTGAGGAAAAGCCACCTTCAGATACTATTCTGGAAAGCTAATTTTGCTCTAAAAATAAAACGAAATAGTCACCAACTTAGACTCTTTATTTACTAGAGGCCCAGTGCACAACATTCATGTGTGCAGGGCCAGGCAGTGATTGAGGTCTGCCAGCTGCCACCCAGGGCCTTCCTTTGCTCCACAGTGCACGTAACAGTGAACTCCTAAGGGGACACTTTGCCTATTTATTAGCCTTTTATATATAGGTTTATATATAGGCTTTTAAAAAAATGTCTATTGATTTCAGAGGAGATAGAAACATTAATGAGAATCATTGGCTACTTCCTACATGTCCCCTACTGGTGACTGAACCTGCAACCCTCAGTCCACAGGCCAAAGCTCTATTTCACTGAGCCAAACCAGCTAAGGGCTTTGGACCTCTTTAATGGCCACAAGCGAGCAAAGTACTACCACTGCCTCATATATAGAACTCAGATTAAAGGCACTAAATGGCCATATTCTAAGACGTTAGTAAAACCACACAATGCTTTAATGTCAGTCAGTTTAAAGATTAAAAGTGATATTCTACACACCTATTTCACATTGGTCTATGAAACCTTTTTAGCCATATGTTCCAGATATGAAAAGAACTGGGGTACTAAGTGATGTCTAAATAGTGTATTATGAATTTCTGCAATTCGGGCAAAGTTGCATGAAAAAAATTAAGCAGCTATACTGAATTTGTTAACATTTTCAGTCTCTTCTCAGAACCTAGGAATATGCTCCAGTTGAGTTCTTTTGAGATATCCAATGAATCTTAAAATAGGATGGAAAGAATTTGAGGACTTTGAATCATTATTTAACACTATCAGACTGCTTCGATAAAAATATACTCCATTTTTTCTTCAGCTACTTTAATTATAAAAATCTTCCATGTCCTCTTCCCCCCCCCCCGCCCCCCCCAGAAAATGGAAAACCAGAAGGCAACAGTCCAGTACAAAAATATACAACTGGAAGTTATCAACTAGATCTGGCAACTAAATCATGTTCAGAATTCTGAAAAATAAAGCACATTAAGACAAAGCACTAAACCAGCATTATAATCAGGAATTTTATCACCTGGGAGATACCTTCCAAATAACAAAGGGCTAGACCACTGTGAAAAACTGAGTCAAGGAGCCTGGAATCAGGCTGTGTATATCCTAAAAAATGTTTATGATCTATGTTATTCTATAATACTAATATGAACCAGGACTTCCCATCCAGATATGGGTATGTCTACTTAAGTAGGAATGCCATTTACTGATCACACCATCTTTTCAAAATACATTAACGGTAGATAATTTTATTATAAAATTATCGTCTTCACCTTTCTGCAGGAACCCACAATAAGCTGAAAACCAGATTGTTACATATTCATGAAAGCAACTATAGCCCTTAGCTCCCCCAAATTATCACCATTAGTGACCTCCAGTGAACATCTGTAATTACACCACAGATCAGTTTGACTTTATCACTTGACTAAAGATGCATGATCAAACTGGCTAGTAGGACTTGTTTTTTAATTACAGTAACATTAAGTTTTTAAAAGCCACAATCTAAATGTACAATGTAGGAGTTTAATACTTTCTATCTTCTTGCCGGCACCGGTTTGGCTCAGTGGATAGAGCGTCGGCCTGCGGACTGAAAGGTCCCGGGTTCGATTCCGGTCAAGGGCATGTACCTTGGTTGCGGGCACATCCCCCATGGGGGTGTGCAAGAGGCAGCTGGTCGATGATTCTCTCTCATCGACGTTTCTAACTCTCTATCCCTCTCTCTTCTTCTCTGAAAAATCAATAAAATATATTTTTTAAAAAAAAAAAACTTTCTATCTTCCATGTTTTGCAAGCCATAAAAATTGTGCTGGGGCTTTTTAAGTGATTGAAAATTTAGGTAACTCAAAGGTTGACTATATCTCAATTTCTCCATTAGCCACATTATACCCATAATTAACCTTTTTATAGAAACGCTTCTAACTTAAAACTAGAAGTTGTATACTGCCCATAAAGCTCCACAGATGCCCATTTATAACAGCAATGTATTACTTCCATGACTTTTTAGCTATCGTGCTTTTTTTCCCAACAGGAACAGTATTTAGGCTATGAGGCAATGCCAGAAGACAGTAAGGCCCAGAGCTTCCAGCAAATCAGGTAAATCCTTAAATGTCTTTTACAATAAGGTTCATACTGAACCTCAGTGACACCAATTCTTCCTTGGAACAATCACACTCTCCTCCCTAGGTTTGCATGTAAGATGTTTAGGACCTCATCTTATGAGATATCCTCAGATAGCCCTAGCTGGTGTGTGGCTGACTGGTTGAGCATTGTTCTGCCTGTTTGAATCCCAGTCAAGGAATAAGTCCAGGTTTGTTGGCTCCATAGGCGGACAACTGACCGTTTCCATTTCTCCCTCCCTCTTCCTCTAAAAATCAATTAAAATTCTCTTAAAGTATATGTGTATAGCCTTACAGATTCAACTCAATGCAATGACTCCGCTCATATTAAAGTCAGGATAATTCAAAACTGTCATAAAACAGCACATTTAAAAAAACTAAGCCACAAGACTGTTGCATTATGGTTTAATCTAATTGCACAAAATTTAGAAATTACAGCTTCTCTGGATTTCTAAAAGGAAGGTTATGCATGCCTCCGTATTCAAGTCTGCACTTACATTTGAACCATATGGTGAATTTTACATGATAATGGATCAATTTAGAATTCCCATGCAACACCTCAAATCATGTAAAATAAAATGGAAGCAATTTTTAAAGCTTTGTGGATAGTTCTCATGCTAATGCTAAAAACCTTTTTATGGGCAACTTTAAATTATATACTAGAATGCTACCCTTCAAAATGTTGGTCACTGAGTAAATTCAAAGAAAAAATTTAAGAACAATCATTTAAGTGACAACCAAAAATTCCCTTCACTTCAAAAGCCTCAATTTTCTTTCTTTTAAGATTTGTGTAACCAACTGCTTTCCACGGGACAAGAACTATGGTAATAGTGTGTTTGACTATTATAGTTATGCTATTATTTTATTAATTTAAAAGCACTTTACAAGAAAATATAAGTATGGCTTCCAATAGGAATGTTATACCTGAACTTGATACCAAGCTCACACATTTTAGTTTTGCAAGGAAAAACAGGCTTTCAGGTTAAACAACAATTTGTAACCAAAACTTTAATCCCAAGGATTCTCACAAAACATATTACAAATGACAGCAAGGAAAAAATTTTGCACAGTAACTCAAAGTTCAGCTCTACAATGTACCCTTAAACTGACAGGACACTGGCATCTTGAATAGTCTCAAATTTCCAAGTGAAGAATGTTATCAACAGCTATATATTCATATATAGCAATCACATAAGAAATTTATGACCTAAAGCAAAGGTAAACTAACTTTCTTAAAACTTCTTAGGTTCTACACTAACTCCATACCATTGCCCAATGTAAAGAATAGTTGGATTTTTTAAACCTCTAAATCTAAAAGTGCAGCTTTAATTTTTAGCTGCTGGCTTGTGTTCAAAGCAGCTTTTGAAGACTGCCTGTCCAACTACAGCTGCCTATTAGATCCCAGCTACGGAAAGTCTTAAATCCAATTTTTTGCCAGTTTTGTTTCCACAATATTCAATGTCACACTTTAGCTGGGCAGAAGGTTAAGAGGTTTATTATCAGTCTACGAAAGACTGAAGTTCAAAGCAAATTCAATTTTGCTTAAGGGAACATTGTAAAGTAACAATTCTTGATATTACATGCCTCATATGATCCATTTCAAACCATAGAGAATTACATCTTTATGCGTCACTGTTCCAAGACAAACAAATGTGAACAGCTAAAACATCTTAAAAATGCACCAAGCTTATGAAGTCTCAAACAAAACTTGAATTTTCTGTACATACTCCTGTCAAATGAAGTTATTTCCTGTACACCACTCATCTTGCAAACTGGTCTTCTATTTCCTTTCATTTGACCTAGATCGGCTAAAAAAAAAAAAAAAAAAAAAAAAACAAAAGCAGAAAATCAGGTTCCATATGTAACTTGGGGGCAGTGACAAAACAGCAAAAGATTTTTATGATAGAAAATTATAGCAAAATGGCTTAATTAGACCTATTTCTGGTTTTAGTACACTAACTAGTTAGACAAGATCTTAAATAGCTCATCATTAAAGATCTTACCTACGAGACCTAGAGAAGGAACGAGACGGCTTGTGATTTCTCTCCCGAGACAGTGATCTCTCTCTTCTTCTATCTCTAGAAAGGGACCTACGGACAGAGGAAAAGGAAAAATAGGAAAAGAGTTAATTCTAACTTAATACTGATTCCATGTAACACTTTATCCATTACTAATAATTCATTACCACTAACAAAGTCATTTATCAATAGAAAACAGCACAGCAAATAACACAGCCATTTCTGAGACTGTGGCCAAGTCATTTACCTGCTCCGGCTGCGGGAGAAGCTTCTCCGTCTTGGAGATCTAAAAGCAGAAACAAGAAAGTTAGGCTAACTGTCAATTAGTATTTATGGCGTGAGGCATTTCCCAACTTTTCAATCTCACTGTTGGGCCCAGTGAATGTGCCGAAGAACTGGCACCCATCGTCAAAAAGAAAAAAAAAAGAAAAAAAAGGCACAGAAGGATTAAGGAACCAAAAGCTCAAGTGAAAAGCAGATATTCCAACCATGGACTCACTTTAACAAAGAATGCTTCACAGCAGATCTGTCCAATGCAAAACTTCATGTCAAACTAACTTCACTACCCAAACACCACACCAAAATGTAGTCCCACAAGTAGTTCCAAAAACAGTACCATAAACCAGTATTTGGAACCCATGCAAACCTATAAGTCCATGACAAGACTTAGGTACCAGGTGGATAGTGTAATTGTGAAAACGCGCTAGGTGTAAATATTGATGCCATTAAGTGCTACATTAGAACTGCATTTGTGATTGTCACATTTAAGGGTGTGTTTAGACTTATCAAAATTACCTTAGCTCTTGGCCCACTTCACCCCCAAATTTTTAAAATTTTGAAAACTGTTAGTAAAACCATTTAAAGGTGATAGGAGTCAAATTTTTGCTAGAAAGGAAAGCTAAATCTGTTAGTAATTTAAATTTTTAGTTTGGCATCTCACACATGCAAATAAGTTTCACTTGAAGGTCTAGTTACATTATGAGTTCCCTATCACCCTTAAAAGTTTTATTCAAGCAATATATATGTACATTACCATTCAATTATGCACAGCCAGCCTTTGATCCAGAAAAAAAGAATTACTTTAAGCCGCTTACTCCTTATTTTAACCAGCAGTAAACTGTATAAGCAGGAAAAACTTACTAGTTTTGGGTTTCAACAAGCTAGAAATGGTGAGGTGAGGCTGCCGGACTGACGGCCAGGAAGAATTTGCTGAAAAGGTTTTGCCAGATGTTGCGTTGGATTTAGTTGGTTGGCGAAGGGGGTGTTGTGGATTTTTCCTGCTTTTTTGTTAGCCGAAGGCTGCTGCTGTAGTTGTTGTGAAGACATTTGGTAAATAAACAGCTGAGCTGATTGGCCAGGAATGTGTGGGCGGTCGAGGTGGCTGCTGCCGATTTGGTTAAGGTTGGAGAGAAGGCTGAGAGAAAACAGCATGCTCGGGAACCAAAGGGCGGTGCAACCTGGCGACTGGCCATGCCTGGGTCATGTGAAACGACACCAGCCAAGCTGAATGGGGCGCGCTGGTCACATGACGCTGAAAGGGCTAGTTGACTGGCTAATGCAGACTCAGAGGGTGGTGAGAAGAGACATGATGGTGACTCTGTAACGGGGTTCATTTTTATTAATAGATGGACCAAAAAGCACAAAAAAAATGAAGAAAAAAAAAACAAGCCATCAGTACAACCATCTATTAGCTAACAAATACTCTATTTGGCAACAGTGTGTTGTTTTTCAAAACAGCAAAAGGGGCAAGATTTTGAACTCCTATCTCCTAGGACTTCACTCACCTTTAAGAGGTAAATTCAGTCCTTCAGAAACTATTTTGGAGATTTGAGGAGATGTGGACTTAGCATCCAGACAACACTGCCTGGTCCAAGAATGATGCCATTGTCAATTATAAAAAAACAGATCTCTCTCCTATTTGGGTATGAAGAATAGATGACTGGGATTACTTTTTTAGCCCCCTTTATTGGTCAGTGACATTAGTTTCAGAAAAAATCTTCAGAAAGATTTCTATTTTACCAGTTGTAGCATTACTAAAACAGCTGCCTAATTGGTAAATATTACAATCGTGCTAATAGAAAACACAATTTTTTTGGTGAAGAGCTAGAGTTGAATGTAATGTTTTGTCATTATGGAGTCAAGAAATGGAAAAAGGCCTAAATTGAAGTATAAGGGAAGACTTGGAAAGATGCACTAGAAGATGAACTAGAAGATAGATCCAAGATAGAAGTTACTGACTACCAACATGAACCTAAAGACAAAAGCCAACACTCAGCACAACTCACATACCCCAAACTAAACCCAGCAAATGCTTCATAAAAACCTCCGGTCTTCACAATAAATTTAAAACCCACCAACAAACTTTTGAGAGAAATAACTGCTCCTATTACCTACTCCATTACACCAATACCTCTAGTCACGCTCTCTCTCAAGTACCTGCGGCGAGGTGGAGGACTCCTTCGCCGATAATCATCTCGAGGGCGACGACCCCAAGAGGGAGGTGGGCCTCGATTTCGACTTCTCTTTTCACCATTCGACAGTTCCACTCTGACTCGGCAGCCACATAGCGTTCTAGGAAGATAAAAACGTTATTACATTTAAAGCAGCCAAACTGACTTCCTGAAAGATGTATATTAAAGCAAAAAGCACTTCTAGCCGAAATTGATTTGGCTCCGTAGGTAGAGCGTCAGCCTGGGAACTGAGGGGCCCCAGGTTCGATTCCAGTCAAGTAAGTGCACGTACACTGGTTGTGGGCACATCCCCAGTAGGAGGTGTGCAGAGGCAGCCGATTCTCTCTCATCAATGTTTCTAACTCTATCCCTCTTTCAATCAATAAAATATATATATATATTTTAAAAAGCACTTCAAGTTAGGAACACATTTGAATGCCTGCAGAATCCTTAACACCAAAACAGGTTTTAGTTCCCTTATTTTTTCCTTAAAGGAAACCAACTTCTTTATATTTTATTCCTTTAAGGGTCAAGTCTGATCATTGGGCTCAATGTTAATTTGTTAGTATTTGTAATTTAAGTGTGAAAACACGTAGAATAGTCCTTAAAGAATTAGTTCATCTATACATCCTGTGTGATGTCTTCCTTTGAGGTCTGTCCCGTCACTTGTTTATGAATCTCACCCTATATTTGCTTGTCTCTCCACTCCATCCCTCTCCAAGTAAACAGCAATAAATAGACGGGAGACATTTGTACATTTTATTTTACATCACCCCTCTCCCCCAATTATCACAATAGTTGACATGAAAAGTTCCAACAGCCCTTACATTCCGATAAGCCAGTGAGATAAGCCAGTGACTGGGAAGAGGCGCAACACTGGAAATATGTTTCTGCAATCCACTTGAGTAAACAAGCTTTTCTACAGCCAGCCTACTGAACATTTAACTTTAGGATGGAAATCCAATGGTTTCAAATGCCAACCAAATGAAGGGGGAAGGGTAACACCTGCTCCTATTAAAACTCGGACATGAGCAGCCAGCTAAGGAAAATTGCTATATAAGCCAGACTTCCTAAAAGCAGCACTCCAAGCACGTAAAGATAATGGTGCAGCAAACCCCATGTAAGCATCATCCAGCTCCAATCATCAACACAGGGCCATTCTTACTTCAAGTATGATTCCACAGCCGTTTTAGAATTCAAAGGCGACAACAGTTGACTGAGGAGAATTTAGATTTAAATGTTCTGACAATTTTTTGGATGCAGCTGTACACCCACTAAGAAGTGACCATTAAACTAAGGTGACCAGATGTCCCACTTTTTAACAATTTGTCCTGCAGCGTTTTAAAAAAAGGTCCTGATTTTTTAAAAGATTCCTTTAAATCTTTTGGACTTTTTTTTTTTTTTAAACGAAGCGGGTCGTCTGGTCACCTAAACTTTATTATATTCTTCAATGGCCAACTGAATAAGAAGAATCCTCCTTATCTCCACTAAAACTGTTCGGTCCTTTTTTTATTGCCAAAAAAGGTGTACACAATTTCCAGTAACATCAATTTCAGATAGCCAAGAAGCCACTCAGAATCATTATCCTAGAGATTTTTAAATGTTAAAAACATAAACGACATATTTAAATCAAAGATCAAATTACCTCCCATCTAGCTCTCGGACTGCATCGGCTGCGTCTCGGGGATCTTCAAACTCAACAAAAGCAAAGCCAGGAGGGTTTCTGGCAACCCACACACTTCTGAGCGGTCCATAATAGCCAAAGGCTCGTTCCAATTCCGTCTTGTTACCGTTGTTCCCAAGATTACCCACATACACCTTACAATCCAATGGACAGGAATCACGATGCATTTCTGTAAAATTAAAAAACCAAAACCAAAACAGTGAAGATTTAACCAAATAATCTACACACAGTGAAACAGACCCTTAGGAAAGACTGCCAAAATACTAAAAACAAAAAACAAAACCACACCTAATTAAGTAAAATCACCACCCTCCAAACACCCATTTCTCCGTTAAATGCTGAGTTAGAGGCCTGAGACAGAAGTGCATGGACCACAATCCCATCTATTATGAAATGTCCCAAACAGGCGAACCCAGAGACACGTTTAGACGGGAATTAACGGCTCTTCCAGTCGCCTGGGCAGCGGCCCCAATCACCCCGGAGGCCGGTTCCAGATTAGGGGCTACCCCGACACCCCCTTCTCCCCTTGGGCTTGCCAATTAAAAAACCAGCCCAGACACATCCTATAGCGTGACTCCACCCTGTGCCCAGGAGCTGAGAACAAACCACTGCTGGAGACTTTTAAAAAAAGAAAAGGAACTCTGTAGCCAGTTTCGGGCCTACGGGCTACCGGGCAGCAGCTGCAGAAACAATGCTGCCCCCGGAAACGGGTTTACAAGAAGACTGGGTTCAACGAGTAAAAAGTGGAGTCAAATGAAAATAACATGAGCGTGTGAGTGCAGAAATAGCTTACTGTGAATGGAATAAATTTCCAGCCTTTTCACAGATTAAATCTTTATTATTGAAAATATTACATTATGCTCCCTTTTTTTCCTCCATTGACCCCTTCCAGCCCGCCCAGACCAACATTCCCGTCTTAACGAGAGCCCAGTGACAAAAAGCCTGGGAGCTTAAGAAAACGTGGGGCGGAAGAAAAAAAAAAGGCGCCATAAATTGAAAGGCCGCGCGGCCTGCAGGACGATTCCGGTTACCGGCTCCCCCGCTGCCTTAATCCTCGGGCAACCTCACCCGCCTGCGCATCTCCCCGCAAAGGCCCGCGAACCCCTTCCCTCCGGGCCGGGACCCGCCGGGTGGGCTCCTGGCCCGCCGCCGCCCGCGCCGAACGTCACAAAATGGCGGCGGCCCTTTGTCTCCATCTGGCGCCGCCATTGGGCCCGGCCCCACCTCGGCGCTGTACCGTCTCACTCCCCACTTCACTCCTCCGGACCCGGGCCCTTACCGAGATCTTGGGTGAGAAACGCGGCGGCTGAGCTCCACACACCCTCGGACGGCTCTTCGGCTCCCCTCCGCCCGGCTGCACAGGTCCCCTCTCCTCCCCGGCGTCCACGAAATGGCGGACCACCGCCTTCTCCTCGCCCTTATTTATACGCCATGCCGGAGTCACGTGATTGGACAGGCTCGCCCAATGAGAGGCCGAAGAGGCCGTGACGCAGCGGCAGCGAACGCGACGGGCCGCGCGGGAGTTGGGCGCGCGCTCGGGCCGCGCCGCGGGGTCTGCGGGTTCTGTGGGCCCCGCGCCCGGCGCTCCCGCGGGGCTCCTCCTCCGTCCCCCCAACCTCGGCTCCCGGTGCTCCTCGGTCCCCTCCATGCTCGTCCCCGAACGGGCCGGAGCTGTGGACGCCGCTGCCGCCGCTCTCCTGAGCGGGCAGAGCCGGCGGCTCCGATACGATTGAGGTCCCGGATGGATTCCATGCTCGACCCTCGCCCGCCGTTTGGCCGGGACGGGGACCATCGCGCTTTCAAACGTGCTTCCGAGTCGCTCCCAAGGTCACGGAGCTGTGGCCGCCGAGCCCCACACTGGTGGGCAAGCCCGGTCCTGCAGAGCCTGCCCGCGGGCCGGTTTCCCGCCTCTCGCCCCGGGCTTCGGCCGCGCCGGCGGCGTCCCCGGCTGCTGGACTCCCCCGTGTGTGATGGGAACTCAGCGGCCGAGGAGCCCGGCAGGCCATCGGGAGCTGCAACTGGAGCGAATAACAATAGGAGGAAGTTGCTGGGGATGACGGATTAAATCCTGAGCCCCCACACTAATGCCAGGAAGGGCGCCTCTGGCCTACCCCCTGGAACGGGGGGGGGGGGGCCGGCCTCCGCGGGCCGCTCCCGCTTCCCGCCCTGCACCCCGCCAGCGGACAGAGCCGCGGGAGTGGTGAGCTATTGGGAGAAAACGGGGCGATTGTGTTAGAAAACCGCCCAGATCTCCTCTCCGGAGCCCTGCCCTCGGCTGGGGAGCGCGGTTCCCGCTACCGCCTTGCAGGAGAGCCTGACTTAACCTACAGCTAACCTGTATTTAAATATGCTCTGGAGAGAAAAACAACAGAAATAACCTGTGTTTGAAGTCACTAGCTGAAAGTTATGCTAATTATTTTCTTGTCTTATCTCTCCCAGACGTTTTCCTTGGAAGCCTTATCTCTCCATGTGGCCCTAAAAGGATTTTCCTTAGTGGGGAGGGGAAAAACGAAGATTTAATCTCCCCGAGCCTTCGTTTTCTCTGTTGTGAAAGGGGAATTTCACGGCGAGGGGAGTAGGAGAAGGGGAACTCCATGGTGGAGCAGGCCCTGTGCCGGCCTCTCCTGGGAGGGGGATTCTGGCAAACCCTGGCTCTTCCTTCTGGCTTTTCTTTCATCCTCACAGTGTTTTTCTCTCCTGGCTCCCCTAGGCGTGCCCTCACTTGCTCCTCTCGTCCGTGTAAGCTTTTCTCTTCATAATTTTTTCTTCTACCAAAGCAAAGTCAGATAGTCCTGGATTGGGACCCCAGCCCTATTGCTGCTTACAGCTAAAGTGTCTCAGCCCAGCCGGTGTGGCTCAGTGGTTGACCCTGTGAACCAGGAGGTCATGGTTGGATTTCCAGTCAGGGCACATCCCCGGGTTTCAGGCTCAATCCCTAGTGTGGAGTAGGCAGCCAGTCACTAATTCTCACTCATCACTGATGTTTCTGTCTCTCTCTCGCTCTCCCTTCCACTCTGAAATCAATAAAAATATATATTTTTTTAAAAAATGAAGTGTCTTGAAAAGAATCTCTTACCCATCTCAATTAATTTCCACCACCCTTTCACTCTCAAAAAAAAAAAATCAATGGGAAAAATATTCTAGGCTGAGGATTTACAAAACAACAACAGAAAACACTCTTTAAAGATTCTTTTTTATTTTTTATCTTTATTGTTGATAGAAAATGCCTCTTTTTAAATATCCCTTTCACATCTCAGTATCGCATCTTTCCCTATTGCCCCTGTTTTTGTTGTGTGTGTGATGCTAGCTAGTCTAGCATGCATCTTTCAGTGGGGCTCTCTAAATTACTGTGCTCATGAGTACATTTTGAACCGCCTCTGGCTTGCCACACACACTTTGCATCTCCGGTGACTGCAGCTAAATGAATTAGCCATTTAAACTCTGGAATATTTGAATGTTGCTTTGATTTTATTGGGTCACCGACTATTCTTGTCTGAACCCTAAAAAACCTGATGCTTTATCAGAATTTCTTAGTGGGACAGGGAATGGAGCTGTGTATCGTAGGGAAGGTCTCTTGGTTTTTCTTGGGGAAACTACCTTTCTCACAAGTAGACCATGTTACTGATGCAGGTGTGACTGGGCCCCACAACCCACTTTTTCATGGGTAGGGAACTGGCCACTGCTGGTTAAATAAGTCATTCCAGTTCGTAGCCCCCCATCCTCACCCCATTAGACGTGATGAAAAATCCGATCAGAACAGTGACCAATTCCAGCATTGCTGCGAGGCCAGCCAGAGAGGCATGCTCTTTCCTCTGGGGCCCTGAGCCAGGGCAGCCAACCCGTTTCCAACAGGAAGCAGCAGCCTGCCACAGACCCAGCCTAAGGCAGAGCGAGCTGAGAGATGGTAACAAAGAGCCCAGGAATTCCCAGTTATTTGAACATTCAAGCTCTCTACCTCTTTCCCCAACTTGCCTAAGCCACTTTGACTTTACACACAAAAAGATTCCAAATACAGAAATTACTCTGACACACTTCTCTCCACCTCAAGTTGAGAACCGTGGCATTAAGTAATCTAATTCTAAAAAATTCATCCGTTACCAATAAACTAAATAGTTGTGTTTTTTTAATATACGGGAAAAAAGTTACTGATGGCCAGGCATTAAGACCTATGTATAAGAATTAAAACTTTAAATACTGTAGTTGACTTCAAGGAAAATCTAATAAGAGCTTAGACCATAACAATAGTTCCTTCGCTACTTGGTGCAATGTCCTGGAAAGAGCACAGTCAGTGAAGGGTTATCTGCAGAGGCCTGGGCATGGGAAAGGAGATGCACAGCAAAGGCAGGACTCCCAGAGGCAGCTCTTAGGCCCATTGGGGCAAGAATGGCCAGCGTTTCCAGGACCAGCAGGCACTGTAGCTGTGAAGAGAGGCCACCACGGCCTTAACTAGAGGAACTGCAGCACCCCAGTGGTGGGGGTTTGCTTTGTTTTGTGAAGGGATGATGGTCCGAGTTGGAAGAATGGACTATATTCTCTTCCCGTAGTTTCATCTTTTTAAAACATCTATGTTTTTATTGATTTCAGAGAGAAAGAGAAACATCAAGGCCTGGGGGATCGAGCCAAAAACCTGGTCCTGGACCGGCAATCAAAGCGGTAATCTCTTGGTGCATAGGATGATGCCCAACTGACAGAGCCACACTGGCCAGGCAGTCCCATCTTTTTTTTTTTTTTAATATTTTATTGATTTTCCTCAGAGAGGAAGGGAGAGGGATAGAGAGCTAGAAACATCAATGAGAGAGAAATATCAACCAGCTGCCTCCTGCACACCCCCTAATGGGGATGTGCCCGATACCAATGTACATGCCCTTGACCGGAATCAAACCTGGGACCTTTCAGTCCGCAGGCCGATGCTCTATCCACTGAGCCAAACCGGTTTCGGCCAGTCCCATCTTTTAATGGTACCTTCTGCAGCCAAAGCCGTTTGGAGACCCGAGGGAAAGACACCTAGGGTGACGCAACCCTAGAAGTCAGCTTCCCAGGGCATAGAGCAGAGAAGCTGGGGGAAAGACAATCAACGGCTACGCTGTTTAATACAGCAATCATCAGGCATACGTCATCATTTCAGTCCAAACTGAGATGTGTTGTAAATGGAACACATATGCTGGATTTCAAACAGTATAAAAAGAAAAAGAAATAAGTAAAATATCTCATAAAATTTTATATTCATTACATGTAAAGATGATAACATTTTTTTTATGTATTGGGTTAAAAACTACATTATTAAAATTAACTTCATCTAAGTTTTTATATTTTTTTTAACCTGTGGCTAGTAGAATACTTAAAATTATATGTGTGACTTGCATTATATTTCTCCTGGGCAGTGTTGATCTATCAGGGCAAATGGAAAATAACCATATTTTTTTCACACAATTACAACAAATAATCACTTAAAATCTAATTTTGGCCCTGGCTGGTATGACTCCAAAAGGTCTCAGGTTTGGTTTGATTCCTGGTCAGGGCACAGGCCCATGTTGCAGGTTCAATGCTAGGTTGGGGTGTATGCGGGAGGTAACCAATGTTTTTCATTTCTCTCTCTCTCTCTCTCTCTCTCTCTCTCTCTCTCTCTCTCTCTCTCTCTTCCCCCGACCCCTTACTCTAAGATCAATTTAAAAAATTAAAAAATACTCATTTTAGCCATACAGTTTAACTTATATGTAGAATGTAAAAACAACAACAAAAGAACGAACAAAATGAAAATGGATTCATAGAAACAGAGATGGTTACAGAAGGAAGATGTTGTGAGGGGATGGGTGAAAAGGTGAAGAGGAATAAAGTCAATAATATTGTGATAAACTTGCATGTTGACGATGATTACTAGAATTTGTGGAGTGATCACGTAAGTAAAGTATAAAAATGTTGAATGACTGTATTGTATACCTGAAACTAATATAACTAATATAATATTGTATATAAACTAATAATATTTTAAAAATCAACAGAACTTTAATAAAATAAATTCTCAGGAGAAAATAAATAAATGAAGTTCCATATTCTGGAAGATTATGTGAAAATAGTGTTTCTGCAAATTACATAGTGTTAAGCTTTAAAAAAATATTTTTGATATTTTGAGATATCATCCTTCTATGTATTTTTATATGATTCCTTGAAAAAGTTTTTTTTGATCATATTACATAATTAACATTCATTCATTCAAGAAGTATTTGTAAGTACCATCTATATTCCAAACACTGAGGTGGATTTAGAAGAAAAAGTAATAAGCCAAAACAGAGCCTCAGGCTGCCAGTATAGGTCTAAGTTCCAATATAGAAGAAAAAGAATCACACAGGTAGTTGTGAGATTATTTACGGTCTGGAGAGGGAAAAGGTGCCTTAAGATCATATCATAGGAGAGATTGGCCTGATTGTATGAACCAAAC